TTACATTCAAGAATTATGGATTGGGATGAAACACATACAAGAGAAAACAATAGAGTTAATGCCATATGGATTTTCCTACAATGTATACTTAATAATTTTATTGATTTACTGTTATTGCACTTTTAAATATTTCATTTCACATCATTGAATCAACTTTTCTCATTCTTGTTCTAGCAAACTCTTAGAAGTCTTTAATATCTGCTCCTACTTTATGCAACTTGCTTGTATAAACTTATACTTTTAAAATACAATGCAAGCAAATGATGACAAATGAGTACCACCCCACTGATAATTGTACCACAAAATAGCCACTTAAAGTGCCATTTTAATGCTATTTTTTCCAACAATCTCCCACATGAATGAAAAATTGATTTTCAGGCTATTTTGAAATCAGGAAAAATTGTGTTCAAACGGTCGATCTCTGCATAGGATATGTAGGGAGTCACTATACCCTTTGAACCTTCCCTTGTGAAGATATGTTTACTCTACTGACCGTACGATAAAACACGATGTCTTTGAACCGACTGCCGTTTGTGTAGACGATGACATATCTCACACAGGAACCTCCCAACCATGCTCTGTTCTCATGAGTGTGCCCATTTTGGTCGTGGGTCACCGTTCTTGGTTCTGTGAGAGTTTCTAAAGAATTGTACCCAACAATTATCCTTTGAAGCGACCCTCACTTCTCTCTTACATAGGTGATTCTTTCTCGAGTATCCCACATACTCACATATGTCAACCGACATTCGAATCATTAAAGCATTAACGTGCTAGCCTCGTGTGGGAGTCACTGTTTCTAACGAGGAGTGGTAGGGAGTCCGAGACCCCACAGTGACACGCTCCGTTCCACAATTTAGTTGTCCCATTGAACCTAGGTGCCAGCTAGGTTGGGTATCCATTATAGAACTTTTAGTCCAAGGGCTTTAGACCCATTCCTCGTTCCAACTTCTCAACAACCATTTGCTTACCCTCGGGTTAGCGAGTTAGCGGTCGCTACGTTATCTTTTGACATCACGTAGTCAATAGAGATTAGAGATAACCCCTGTTGTGAGAAATTGTTTAATGGTATTATGTCTATGACTCATAAGTCTAGACTTACCATTGCACATCTAACTCTGTACTTAACCAATTTTGGCTTGACTATCGCAACGCACACAATTGGAGGTACGAGTTTATCTCTAGGAACATTCCCGAAAAATGGCATAGCCATTCGACCTACTCACTCGCGACACGAGTCTAAGGCTCTCAGCATAGATCCTGTCATAGATCTTAGCTGTCACAAATCGTTTCGAGAATTTCCATTCAACCAACTGCACTGGCCTACGTAAACATGTAGCCTTAAATGGACTTAGTATCCTTTGATATCCGTGCTATACTTTCCAAGTACAGCTAGATATCCTACGTAGTGCAGTCCAGAGTCACGAGCATACCTTAAGTATCTCATAACTCTCACTATTACCTTCTAGTGAGTGACACTAGAGTTACTCGTATGTCTATCGAGTTCGTTAACCGCAAAGGCATAGTACAACCCATTAGATACAATTAAACTACCAATAATCTGAATGTATTCTCCGTGAGAAGTACAATCGTCGTGATTATTGACTAGTTTTACGTTAGTATCTAACGGCGTCCAAGCCACTTGATTAATATCCTTTGGAAGGATTTAATCAACACAATGAGATTGGTCTAACACGAGACCATACGGTACGGTCTTCTCACGATTTTAATCTCGAAGATTAAATCTGTCAAACCCTCACCTCTCATGTCAAATCTCAAATTTAACATGTTCCTGGTAGAATTGATCATTTGATCGTTACTACCCAGAATGAGTTCATCATTTATAAACAAACAGTGATATCTCTGTCTATCGTACGCATTACGTAGACACACTTGTCACCTTCGTTTATACCAAACTCGTTGGTCATCATTGTATGATCAAACTCACATGCCAAATACTAAGGCAATTGTTTCGAACCATACAATGATCTCACCAATTACACACTTTCTTTTCACATCGTGGAACCACAAACCCTTAGGTCATTCCATGTCTACTAAGAAAGCGATACATCCATTTCGATGAACTTCCAAGTCTTGCTAAGCAGCTCTTGGCAGGTATCATCCTAATGGATTTCATTCTCATCACAAGAGAATATTTATATCGAAGTAATCGTGGCACTCGCGTTGCATGTAATCTATAATTACAGGCTCGACCATTTTACTTCAATATAATCAACCGGTTTTTATCTTCCGACTAGTGATCCACTTAGGATCCCGAGGTTTTACAACCTGGAGGAAGAACAACCAGTTCCAAGTATGATTCTCTAAGATCGAATCTACTTCACTCTCGGTAGCCTCTCTCGGGTTGGTCCATCTGTAGAAGTCAACACTTCTACATACGTTCGAGGCTCGTTTTTCTAACAACCATGTCATAAAATTCAAATTATTTTCTAGTAAACCAGTTAGAATATGCGCACTACATTCTAACACGTACGTCAGAAAATATGGACCAAAGGATTTTCAATCCTAGCTCTCTTGCTACGTCTAGCTTCGAGCTCGGGTTATCTTTCATACTCTTCAACCATAGCTACGCCGAAAGTTCCTTACAACGTGCTAGGTCCTTTATTGAACCTTCACAAAATACATCTTCAAAGAACGATGAATTTCTCGATTCAATTTATTGTGTTCTTATGTACATCCAAACTATATGACTCGTGTACTATGAACCCAATATACGCCTTTGGCAAGACACCCCCACATTTCAGGCATTAGTAGGAAAACTTCCTACGTACCTATAATTCGTAAGAATTCCATGCGGGTAACCTTATTTAAAACGTACTTACTTGTCCAAAGTATTGCCTCACCCCACATACTTTGAGGTAGACCCGAACTTATCAACGTCTTGATATTTATGTTCGGCAACAACGTTCGATTGAGGTGAATACCGTACCGTACTCTCGAGTACAATACCAATGCTTGCGCAGAAATCACCAATAGGTGTTTCATATTCACTACATCGATCATTCGTAACCGCATTAATCCACGATTAATTTGGTTTTTCTCTTTATTCTTATAAAGAATAAAAATGTGCCACACATTAACACATTTTGTTGGTGCTAACATATTAGCCCTCACGAAACCATTCGGGATTGACCGAAAGGCCAAGACCACGAATCAGTGCTTCCGACGTTGACGCACGAATCAGTGCTCAGTAATGAAGCACGAATCATGCTATACCAAGCACAAATCATTACTTCCAAACTAACGCACCGATTCTAAAACAATCTCTATTGCTTTAAATTATAAACTCACAACAACCATCCGTTGCTTAATTTATAATTCCAGTGCTACGTAGCACTAGAATTATTAGTTAATTACACAATTAACCAAACCTCCTTCTGTGCTAATCACATAATACCTTTTACAATGCTAAATTTAATTAGCCTTTTGCATAGTGCTAATTCAACATTTTGGACGTCTAGTGCTATTAAGCACCACAATTAGCACTTCAACAATGCTAAGTTTAATTAGCATTTTTCATTAAGCTCAAGCTTAATTTTAACGTCCCAACAATTTGTCTCAAATCACATTTCATACTAGTATAATTTGGAATTTTGATCAAGTTCATTATAACACAATTAACAAGAACTAATCAACCAAATCTCCAACTAGTTGAATCAAACTCATATAATCGTTCTTAGAATATTATATAAAATATTCAACAATTGAGTTGTGACGCTCACGATTATATAGTTATCCCAATTTTTGACAAATTGATCATACTTTGAAATCTGTATCGTTCAACATGAACTAGAACCGAAGTCCTTTTACGAGATTTCAAACATGTAACACGCTTGTTACATTTCGTTCCGGCCGTTAAGCCATTTTAGCATTTTCCACATAATGCTCCATGATGCACTACACACCCATATTGAGTTATTTCATACATTTGACATTATTCTAGCAAATAATTCGTATGTACCAAGATTCAACTCAATGGAACAATTATATTTTTAATTCAAATAAAAATATTACAAGGATACTACAATATTTATTCAAAATAAATAAATAGGAAAAACTAAATTGGAAACAAATTCCTTATTCCTATCTCGTAGTAGTCCTTCAACCCGTGTGCCTTGTTCCATTTTCCAACCGTCCACTCCATGAAGGGTGGTCCATAGCGCACATCGGGGGTACCTCGGTTGTGACCTCACTCGTCCAACCATCCACATGTTTTAAACATAGCGAAATTGTCCTCAACCTTTTCACCAGGATGACGGTTCGCTTCATAGTGGCATTTCTCCTTCTTCTCATAATCTTTTTGAAAGCTAAGCTTCCACTTCCCTTTTCTTTGATTACGGTTGAAGTCATTGGTCACACTACAGTAGTCCTCAGACCATGTAGTACTGTGTTCACACCATCATAGGATCCTTCGTGGCTTTTAGCCGATCCATTAGGCAACACAATAGGTACCAATTGTGTGCCATGAGCCACAGGTCTACCGGTTCATGAACCAACGTTCTCTGGAGCACCATCGTGTGTTTTTGCAACTCCCATGAAAATATCATTTCCAACGTTGCTGCCGTCAACCGGCATCACGGAATGTGCTACATCGTTGCCGTTCCGACCATCTGAATGTGCACCTCCGGCAACATTCACGGATCCAACACTTTTCACTGTTGGAAATCTGCATTTTTTCGACCACCAAAAAGTGGTCAGAAAAGGGGCATTTCCGGTCGAAAATGCAGTTTCCGACCAACTTAGCGACCACTTTATGGATTCGAAAAAAAAGCCCTAGCTATTAGCGACAACTAGTCAAGGTGGTCGGAAATACCGACTTTCTTTTTTAGGTCGTTGAAACTAGTGATTGTCGGATAAAAGGAGCACATTTCCTACCACTGGTGGTCGGTAATTGGTCGAAATTACTATCCACTGGTGGTCGGTAAAATTTACAAAGAAAAAATTAAAATTTGAGGCCACTAAGGTGGTCGGTAAGATTTACTAACAAAAAAATAAAATTTAAAATTCTACAAATATCAAATGAAATTAAATTGCGTTGGTCCATTCTACAAGAAACAGAAGCACAATCAAGGTTACAAATGTTAAATATAAAAGCGAAATGACATGGTTAGAAGATAAAGCATACAAGTAGGTCTTCACAAGGTTTCGATAATTCAGTTTCAGATGCACTTGGATCCCACTCTAGTTCATGCTCCAAAGCAATTTCCTTTAGCAGCTTGAGTTTCACATCGGGACTAGGAGCTCGAACAGATAATAGCTCTATTAACTGCAAATACGCAGTAATAAAAACACCTTTAAAAAGTATATGAAGCTCAGTTGAGCTGATTCTTTAGCTATGTCATAAAACCAGAATGTGTATAACCTGGCGATTGACACCACACTCGGGCATCAGTTCAGCCGCAGCAACAACAAATTCTTTCCCGTATTTTCCAGCAAACAACATTTAAACTTGCACTAACTCTGTAACATTTGCACATCTCGGTGCAGCAAAACATATACTGGAAATCGCTTCTTTCAAATCCAGAGGGCATTCCCTGGAACAATTGAAGAAGGCAGGGGAATTCAATTCTATAAGACATACAAATTAAGTATTTGCTGAAAAGCAATTAGTACAAGAAGACATGAAGATGGTTTAGGAACAAAATAGAAACTCATTTTCTCCATTGAAAGTACAGTCCAGAAAACCAAATCTTTACCACTGCGCCTCAATAATTAGAAGGCGAATGGATATAAGTTCACAAAATAATTCAAGTATCTCCTGTGCAGCCATCATTTTCTCGTTTCTTATAATATGCTCTACCTGAAATAAAACAAAAAACCACCTTAATGAACTGTTTGACTTATGATCATTTCACTCACGAAATGGAATCAATGGAAATATATAACCACAAAAAAGAATCATGTTTTTTTTTACCCAAATCAGAGCAGTAGCTTCTTGACCAGTTTCAAGAAATTTTGCTATTTCTCTGTGCATCTGCTTCATCTGAATCTCTCTCCGGTTCCTTAGATGCTTAATTCGAGGAATCGCTAGTTTCAATAAGGTTTTACTGCAAATCAAAATGAATAACTGCCATCACTCACAACTCGAAGTGAAAAATCACATTCTAATACACACATTCAAAACCCTGTTCAGTAATTTCAATCAGTTCTTACAGTAAATCGAAATGCAAATCAAAACCTGTTCCGCACATAATATTCAAATTAAAATCCACATAAAAATTGTGAATTATGGAAAAAAAAAACTGAAATTTTGAAGAAAAATAAGAAACGGTTACCATTGGGCTGCTTTGAACCCTTTGTTGAAGAAGGAATCCATCATTGACAAACTTAGAATGTTTAATTAAAAAGCAAAATCAAGTGAAAGCCTCTACAAAAGTTAAATAAGTAGCTTATTTTGTAAATCACAAATGGAAAAAAATGTCATAAATGGGTACCGAGTGGTTCCATACAATAATAATCATCTTAATGATGAACTAAGGAATTACTGAAAAGGTCAATTATTTGGTCATAGTTTTCATGATCCTCTAAGCTCTTATTTCTCTTTTTGTGGTTGTGTCATTTTTATTAACTGCCCGAAGGGAGGCGAAACCTCCAAGATCATACAATAAAGCCACTTTAGCCTTTTCCGGCAAAGAATTAACGGAAGTAAAAAGCCTAGGGGAAGAAGCATTCAGACCCGCCGTTGCAAGGTCATCCGCCACCTGGTTGGCCTCCCGATAAACATGTCTGATTGTAGAACCCCATGAACTCAGACAAGAGTGAATGAAGAGCACCGCATGTTCAATTCGCCATGGAATCCTGGAAGTCTCGGACCCCGACAAAGTAGCAAGGGCTAGAGAATCCACCTCCACGACGGACGGTATTTTGGCAAAGGCAGTACACCAATAAAAAGCACGCTGAAGAGATAAAGCTTCGGCTTCCAAAGCCGACGAGGCCTCCATACGAAAGTAAAGCCCCGCTATAAGGCTCCCGCGAGAGTCCCACAAGCAAGCTCCTCCCGCAGCCCCAGCGGCTCCAAAAGTCGCATCCGTGTTGAGCTTGAGTCTGCCCGCTGGCGGGGTTAACCATTTAACCCAGACTGTGATCTTCCTTGGTGGCGGCTGAAACCGCAGCAGCAACTGATAAGTGCATAATTGTTCATATTTATACCCATGTCTACCCCATATTTAGCCTTGTTTTTCTTATGAAGTTTCACAATGTTGTTCAAAATGATCTTTATTTTGTTCATTTGATCCATTATGCACAATTCATTATCTTTGAGTAGAAATGAAGGATTTTAGATCATGTTGGATGCATTTGGAGTCAAGGGGAGCCAATGTGAAGCTAAGGAGATGGATGGAACACTTCCAAAGGAGCCAAAGAGTGATGTTTTCAATGGTGTTGATCATATGGACAAATTAAACCAAAGGCAAAAGTGGAACAAGTGTCAACAAGTTGAAATTCTCGCATGGTTTGGCCACTGTTCTGTTTTCGGGGCATATCTCGGTCTAGAAATATCCAATTTATGTGATTCTTGTCCCATTGGAAAGAAGACTCAAAGAGCTACAACTTATATTCGACATCAAAGCCTAAAAAGGAAGACATAGGGGTCGAAATTATCCTTGAAGTTGAAGTTCCAAACTTACACTTCAAAACTGACCACTGTTTGGTTTTTGGACCATATATCAGCCTAGGAATGTCCAAATGAAGTTATTCTTGCGCCATTGGAAAGATAACTTGAAGGGATACAACTTTGATTCAAGAACCAAATGCTAATTCAAACGTTTAGAGGGTGAAAAATGACCTAGAAGACAAACTTAGTGCACAGGCAGTGCACACTGCCTTGTGGCCACGGGTCTGGCCACGCCCGTGGCCACTGGGCAGTGTAAACTGCCTTTCTGGCCACAGGGCTGGCCAAGGGCGTGGCCACACCCGTGGTCAGCCCTCTGCAACTTTATAATCTGCGTTTTTCACTCATTTTAGCTCGGGTTTTGACCCATGGTTGAGCCCTAGCTTCTCTCTTTCATTCTCCTTCATATTTTTAGGTTAGATTTGGCTTAGATTTATGTTTCTTAACACTTTTGAAGCTTTTAATCTTGGATTTGAAGCTTGGATTCCAACACTTGAAGATTCTTCCTCCATTTTCAATACATAAGTTCTTCTTCCTTTTATCTCTTTATTTTGCAAGATTTATGTTTCATGCTTATGTTTTTGTGTTCTTTATGCTATTTAATCATGAGTAGTTAGTTTTTGGACTTGAGTTAGGGTTGTATTATCTATCTTGATTCTTGATTTGTGATTATTACAAAAAAGGGGAAGAACTCCAACCTAGGGTTCATGTGTTTGTGAAGGTTTTGTATTTATATCTTGTTAATGTTTGATGTACACATTCATTAGCTTGTTTTTGGAGGATTCCTTGCCTCAACGAGAGTTGGGTGATGAATCCAAGCCACCCATTGCATAGACCCGATTTCTTCCTACGGAAATAGGGGAAATTGGGGGCTTTAGATGCTTTGTGTGCTTGATGGACTTGGAATTGATTCACCACGAAAGTGGGGCAATTCCTTGTTCTAATCCTTGTTTATTAATCATGAGAATGGTTCGTAGACTAGGATACCTACATGCATTCTCGCTTGATTCCTTGGTTACTTGTTCTCCCTAATCCCTTAGGTTGTTAAAGCATCTAGATGATAATGCTCCCTAGCTTGAGTCCTATTTCTTTATTTCGTGTTTACATCTTGTTAATATGTGTTTGTGTTACTTTGTTTAGTTACCGTAGCCTCAATCTCGCTATGATTTGCTTAGCTTCTTGTTAATTTCCTTATGCTAGTGTCTAGTTTCTTGTGATTGCATATTGCGTGCCATAATCCCCAATCCCCTGAGGACGACATAACACACCCGAGCTCACATCTTATTTTTGCTACAATCAGCAACCCAGATGACAGCAACAGATCATCAGCTGGACCCATGTGACAAACCTGCCGAGCAATCAATAGTATCTCTTGCTTGATTTGACCAATTAAACGCAAGGCTGACGCAGCTCCTTCGCCATAAACGCCCCGGTTGTAAGAGCACCGAGACACCATAAAACAACGCTTGGCAACAACCTGGCACACCAATTGATCGCCGAACCCGGAGGAGAGAGTAGCCACCAGGCGTGGCATTCTGAGCGAATAGAAGAAGCAGCAGTCGTCAATTCAAAGAGACCCCGAAAGTGGCACCAAACCTGGCGAGACACCCGACATTGATAAAGACAATGCTCCATATTCGCAGAGGCATGATTACACTGTGGACAAACCGACGGCATACATATCCCAAAACACTGCAAAACATCTGGGAACGGTAGAAAATTCTGAAGCAGTTTCCACATAAACACAGAAATTTTCGACGGGATCCAACTACACCAAATACAATCGGACGACAGGCTTTTGGCTGACTTGGAACGCAACTCCTCATGGGCCGACGATAGGGTGAAGTCTCCATAGGAATCAGGCATCCAAATTGGGGTGCCAGACTCAAACTGCGTGTTGTGTTCTACAAAATCCCGAAGCTGCTGCATTCGACGCCAGGTAATCGATGCCGCAAGCCGATCAGACTGCTAGAGGGAGTATAAATTCACTCCACAGAGTTCCACCCCTCATGAATCCGAAGAGAAGCTTGGCAGAGAAGGCTTGTTGCACTGATTCTAGCGAATTAATCCCGAGTCCTCCTTCGTCTGTTGGGTAGCAGATCTTCCGCCAAGCCGCTCAATGGTGTTTCAGTTTTCTCCCCTCAAATCCCCATAGGAAATTGGCGAACCTGGATTCCAGATCTTTTATCGTTTGTCGCGGGAGAGGGATTGAAGCTGCAATAAACATGGGTATTGTGCTTAAGACGTGGCGGATCAAAATCAACCTTCCTCCCGGGTAAAGAAGATTGCGTTGCCAACTGATTAATCTTTTGTCTTTTCTTTCCAGCAAGTGGTGGTGATAAATAGGTCTATTCCTGCCCTTAAGCAGACTCACACCTAGGTAACGAAAAGGCAACGCCGATTGTTGCATGCCCAAAATGCGCGCCATTTCCAGAGCTCTACCGTGTGTGAATCTCGTAGAAGTCACAAAGAAGCTAGCTTTTGGTGTAATTAATCTTTTGGCCAGAGCCTTCCTGGTATTTAATCAAGACTTCGACCAAAGCTCTCAACGACCCGAAGAGCCATTCACAAAGATCACAATGTCATCCGTGAACGCCAAGTGAGTGATGATCGGGCAATTCGGGGATGTGGAATATGGCGAGAGAAGACCGACACCCATCTTCAGAATGAGAGACCGCGACAGAGCTTCAGAGGCCAAAATGAAAAGCAACGGGGAGAGCGGATCACCTTGTTTGACACCTCTTGAAGGCCGAAAGAAACCACAACTTACACCATTAACGAGCACCGAGAGGCCTGTTGCTCTAGAGTTAATTTCACTAGAGGTCCTTTATTTTTTGTGGCAATTCTAAATTTAGTCCCAGCCTATCATTTTTGCCATTTTACATCCCAGACTATTATTTTTTGGACACTTTTAGTCCTTCTCATGACTTTTTCTATTTTTAGTAAGGACATTTTTGTCTCTTTATATTTTTCTTTTGTAATTTTTCTGGTTTCGAGCAGTTTAATTGGTTTAGAACTTTAGGTAACCTCTTATTTTTAGTAACCATATTTTTCAACCAATTTTTAGTAAAATCCTAAACCATTTAAACCAATTGAAACCGAAAAAATAACAAAAGAAAAATATAAATATGAACACAGATTAAAGAGCATTGTTCACAGATTTTGTATAATAATAATACAGATTAAAGAGCATAATTATTGCACACAAGCACACTCATAAACACACACACAGAGGAACAAGTTTTGGTATTCGCTATGGCTTGGTTTGCTGCAACTTCACTGATGCGAACAATAGAGCTTGAGTTCCTGCAACCTCATCCGCGTCTTGTTCTTGACCATACAGAGACAGAAGCAGTGGAAGCTCTCCATCGAAGGCTTGCTCAGATGCTAGCCTTTCTTGATAATGTTTCAGAGAATCAATTGAATGATGATGACGAGACGACCAAAGAGTGGAAAGGGAGAATTAAAGAGGTTGCACTAAGAATAGAACACAAAATTGAATCAGAAATAATTGATGTTTTTGGCAGAGAGGATCCGAGATGGCGATTCCTTGGAAGAGTTGACGACTGCATACAACCTCAAAGATTCCTTACAACCTTGCAAAATGGCTCCGGAGAGTTTATGGAGTTGGTGAAGAACAAACAGCGGATGAAAGATTTGCAAATAAAAGATGATGACATTCCTTCTTCGTCCAGTGAAAAGATTGAGCATCATCATCATTCTGCTAGTTCAAAGCTACTTTGGAGCTCAATAATGGTAGGACGTCATGACGAAGTGAATATGATTTCGGAGTTACTTGTTCAAGATTCATGGAAAGAAAGACGGGTTGTGCCCATTGTTGGCATGGGAGGTATAGGCAAGACAAAGCTTGCTCAAACATTGTATCAACATCCAACAGTTTCATCACATTTTGACGTTGTTGCTTGGACAACTGTGTCTGCACAACCTGTCATGCGACAAATGCTTCTTCAGCTCTTGTCTACTATGCAAATCTCCCAGGAAAAGGAAATCATCAATAAAAGCAACGAAGAACTAGCAGACCGATTACGTAGATGCTTAATGGGTCGGAGGTATTTCATTGTTGTAGATGACTTGTGGAGCACAGACTTCTGGGATGAAATCCAAAGGTGCTTCCCAGAAGATAGTAATGGAAGTCGAATATTGGTGACCACTCGACTTCAAGAAGTGGCCATTTCTACAGGAGGATCACATAATTATTGGCTAAACTTGCCTTTCTTAAATCCAGATGAAAGTTGGGAATTATTTAATCAGTGGATTCTCAATTATGGAAGCTTAAGCTTAAGCTTTCCTATGAAACTTGAAGGGATATGGAGACACATTGTTGAGTATTGTAAAGGATTGCCGCTTGCAATTGTGATAGTTGCAGGACTTGTACAAGCCATCAATGAGTCACTATGGGAATCTCAATCAGAGGAGATTGAGAAAATATTATGTGCCACTGTGACCAACAGCCTTCTTGATAGTTTTTCAGAGATTCTCAGGTTGAGTTACAACCACTTACCTAATGTCTTGAGAGTTTGTTTCTTATATGTGGGAGTTTTTCGTGAAGATAGTGCAATCCCTATGAAAAAGCTTATTAGATTATGGATAGCAGAAGGGTTTGTGAAGGTAGAAGAAGATGCTGAAGATTACTTAAAGGATCTTGTATCTAGGAGTTTAGTTTTGATTGACAGTTCGAGCTTAGATGGCAAGATTAAGTCATGTAAGGTGCATGACATCGTACATGATTTTTGTAGGAATGAAGCAATGAAGGAGGGCCTCCTACATGTTGCAATAAGTAGATATTTTGATGAACCACATTCATCTGTAAGGACGACTCAACGTTGGTTAAGTTTTGAATCAATGTATCCTAAACTTGATGTGCACAATGGCTTCAACCGGTATGGTTCCCTCTTTTGCTTTTATGATGATTGTCATATGAGTCAAGGTTATCAACTTCCTGCAAACTCTCATTTCAAGAGGTTGAGAGTACTAGATTTAGGTTCTCTCCACTTCATTAATGGTATACCTTCATATGTTGCAGATCTAATTCTTTTGAGATACATAGCTCTACGCCCATCCAAGTCTCTTAATAGTTTACCTGTGTTAAAGGATTGGAATTTACAAACTCTTGTGCTTTTAGAAAGTTGGGGTTGCAGTAGTACAAGTGCAGACGACGACCCCAATCCTTTGATACCTGCTGAAATTTGGGAGTTGCCAAAGTTGAGACATCTCCAAGTTTGCACAACATTTGTGTTGGGTACTCCAACTGCGGTTCATCAATACATACAGACAGTTCAATGGTTGCGCCCATTCCAATGTACAGAGCAAGTGTTCTTAAGGATTCCGAATGCAAAAGTGATGGGAGTTTTCATGGAGGGCAGTGTGGAATTTGGAGAGCCGAATTGTTTGGATAATTTGAGGTATTTACATCAACTTGAGGAACTAAAAATTGAAAGCAGACACAGTAATCCTGTTTTGCTTCCAGTTGTGGATGCTTTTCCAGTACAGCTCAAAAAGTTGAAATTGAAGGGAACTTTGGTGCCATGGGATGCTATGACAGTTATTGGTATGTTGCCTAACCTCCAGCTGCTTAAACTTATAAATGGAGCTTGCCAGGGACAACATTGGGAACTAAGTGAAGCTAGTTTTCCTCAGTTAAAATCGTTGCTTATTTATGGATCAGATTTGAGGCACTGGGAAGCCACTAGTAATGATTTCCCTGTTCTTGAGCGCCTAATTCTTAAACAATGTTATGAATTGGAAGCAATCCCTTCTAGTTTTGAAGATATACTCACTCTAGAGTTGATCGAGTTGTGTCATTGTTATTCTCGGCTTGTCAACTCTGCCAACCAAATACAACAAGTGCAAAGAGATTATGGAAATAATGAACTTGTTGTTTGTGCCTACAATATTTGGGTATCTATATAACTCATCACTCAAACTTTTGTGTGCTATTTTAATTTTATTTAATTTTTTTCCGTTCCCATCTTTAATATATTCTTGTATCTATCTAAATTTCAGAGAAATGCTGAAGAGGTACTTGAAGGTGAACTTAAAGAGGAACTAGAAGGATGATAGTGAAGGAGATTTTGAGGAATAATGATATCAAATTCAGAAGTGTGGATTCATCACAATCCTAAGTTTATATATGTTGGCTGCTCTTGAATTCTTGCAGAGTTGGAATGAAATTTGTAGAGGATGAGTGTAATGGTTGGAAGCATCAGGCCTTTGAAATTTCTACATATGCATGCATGCATGTTTAGGTTGGCTGGTTGAATTGCAATAATGCAAGTTCAAATGCATGTGATTTAGGTTTTATTATTGTAAGTTTATTTAGGTTATTATATCAGTGTGGGGTTTATGATACTTGTGGGGGTCTGAAGTTTATTTTGTTTGATGCAGGGTTTGCTGCTTCCACTGAGCTGCAAGTAGAGGGGTTGGCTGCAGGTACTGCGGGCTGCTGTGGTTCTTGACTTCTTGCTGCACTTAGGGTGTTTGTTTTGGCCTTTGGGGACGGGTTTGGATAATCCTTATATCATGGTCTAGGGTCCATCATACGTATTGTAGACTTTGGTCCAAATGATGTAATATAATCTCTAATTAGCACATTATATACTTCCATTTTTTTTTTAAATAATATACTTTCATTTTATTAATTTATCTATAGTTCACATTTAGAATAAGATTAGAACGTGTATACGATGAGAATATAATTGTGTTGTATTCAAATATTTAATAATAATGTCTGAGAGTACATGTAGCGAATATATAGAGATGCTAGATAGAATCCTAGTCTAACAAGAATAATATAGTCCTAATCTAATATGGATAATATAGTCATAGTCTAATATGGATAATATAGTGTTAATACTCCCCCTCAAACACAAGGTTGGCTAGCCAAAACATTGAGCTTGTCACAGAGAGAGTTAAAATGAAGAGACGACAGAGACTTTGTGAAAATATCCGCTATTTGATCCTTGGTTGAAATAAAGTGCACTTCTAACTCCTTTTTGGCTACTTTATCGCGAACAAAATGATAGTCAATCTCAATGTGCTTCGTGCGGGCATGAAACACTGGATTGGCACATAAATAAGTAGCTCCCAAATTATCACACCATAGTCGAGGAGGAGACGCAGGAGGGACGCCGATTTCATGTAACAGAGAAACGAGCCATGTAACTTCTGCATATATATATCAGCGAGTCCCTTGTATTCTACTTCAGTCGAAGAACATGCCACAGTCCGTTGCTTCCGAAAAATCCAAGATATTAGATTACTGCCCAAGAACACAGCAAAGCCACTAGTAGATTTGTGGTCATTCGGATCGTCAGCCCAATCTGAGTCAGAATAGGCGTGAATATCCATAGATGTAGACCGAGAAATACGCAGGCCAAGATTCAGGGTGCCTTTGACATACCGCATGACTCTCTTTAGAGAGACCCAGTCTGTAGTAGTGGGAGCATGCATATGTTGACACAATAGATTAACATCATAAGATAGATCCGGACGGGTTACCGTAAGATACTGGAGAGCACCAGCAAGACTCCTGTATTGTGTTGGATCGGCATAGGGAACGGCCACGTCGTCTGTGATTTTCACAGAAGAGACAGGCGTGATTACTGGCTTGCAGTCCACCATGCCAGCACGTTTGAGAATATCCTTCATGTACCGTTGTTGGGATAAAAGCATACCGCCAGATAACAGGACAATTTCTATTCCCAAGAAGAAAGAAGGCACACCCATATCACGAACCTTCAATTCAAGTGCTAATTTATCAATAAGAGTAGTAACACGATCTGAGTCAGAATCCATAATTAAAATGTCATCAACATACACCAAGAACTAAAGACGAATATTGTCACGAGAATAGATAAAAAGAGACACATCCGTCTTAGAAGGCGAGAAGCCCACAGAGACAAGAAATCATGTAGCCTTGTGAACCAAGCACGTGGAGCCTCTTTGAGACCTTATAGAGATTTTTTAAGCAAACATACATAATTATGTAACAACTTATCCTCATAACCAGGTGGCTGTCGCATGTAAACAGTTTCAGCTAGCTGGCCATTTAAAAAGGCGTTGTGAATATCCAATTGGCGAATAGACCACCCACGAGATACGGCTAAAGATAAGAGAAGACGAACCGTAGTGGGCTTAACCATAGGACTAAAGGTCTCAAAAAATTCTTCTCCAAAAACCTTATTAAAACTCTTGGCTACTAACCTTGCTTTATGACGGTCTATTCAACCATCGACCTTCCGTTTGGTTCTGAAAACCCACTTGCAACCAACAACATTCATACCTGGTTGAGATGGAACGAGACGCCACGTATGATTATGGACCAAGGCATTGAACTCCGCGTCCATTGCATCACGTCACTCAGGAAATTTGACAGCCTGAGAGTAACAAGTAGGCTCAGGCAATATAGTGGAAATAGTGGTTAAGGCAAAATGTTGATGCGGGCCGGAGCTGCGAGTGTTCATGCGATGCGACCGAGGAGGCGGAGTAGCATGTCGATGACGTCCGCGCGGCCTACCGCGCTGCTCAACCTGCTGGTCCGAGACAGTCCGCTCACTCGATGCGGACTGCTCGTGACCGTGAGTGGCATCACCGCCAGAAGCCGCCACGAGCTTGTGAATCTGCCTAGCGCCATCAGTAACCGTAGTCGAGACATCACTTCCTTGGCCCGTTACAATTGGTGTAGTAGCCCACGGTTCGGAACGCGGTGTAGTAACCTCCGGTGCACCAAACTGCGAGTCAAATTGGCTATAAAAATGGAGAGCCGAGTGCCCATGAGCCTTGTAAATTTGACACCGCGGTCCTCTGCCACTACGACCACCATGAGCCCCTCGGCCGCCACTGCCACGATTACCGCCACGCTGACCACGACTAGAATTCACGGACTGTCCACCACGTCAGGAATTGCCACCGGACTGTCTGCCACCGCGACGAGCTGCCATCGCCGCCGAACCACCCACCAGGGAATCAACTACCGGAGAGAAGTCATCACCACAGATAAACTGCTGCGCCGCCAACAAGTCGGAAAGATGCTCGATCGTAACCGGTGTACCGGAGGTGAGCAAACTGGACGCCATCACCCGGAACTCTAGACGCAAACCCCTGAAAACATATAGGTTCTGCTCATCCGGAGACACCGATCTGCCCGCCATAGTCAGCTCCTCAATCAACACCTGAGCACGCCCTAGGTACTCGAAAGGAGAACTATCACCCTGACGAAGCCCTTTCAGCTGCCCAAGCAAGCCAAGAGCTCGAGCGCGAGTGGAGGAACCGAACGCGCCTTCAACTGCCAGACAGACTGCCCGCGACGTCGTACGACCTACCGCGAGATACATAGCTTCGTCGGAAATAGAGGAGACGAGCATCGAAAGGATCGATTAATCCTGTTGCACCCATGCGACAAACGCTTCGTTCACCACCGGAGGAGTGCCATCAGCGGCGAGAACGGTCGGCTGAGGGCAAGGAATGGAACCGTCGACGTAGCCGAATAGACCCTGGCCACGGAGGAAAGGAACTAACTGGGTACGCCAAAACAGAAAGTTACGTGAGGTGAGCTTGATCGAGACAAAGTGGTGAGCCGACGACATTGTCGGCGGAGCCACCACCGGAGAAGACGCCGGTGTACTGACAGTGACGGTGTGCTCGGACGAAGCATCGGTTTGATTAGAAGATGCCATCCAGGATCGAAACAGAGCGATTGATACCAGATGAGAGTACTGTGCTTGTAGTATTGTATTGATAATCAATAATAATCAGAGTACAGAGATATATTACACATACATACTAGCTAGAAGTAGAGTTACACAGAGACACAACTATAGAGACCTAATAATCAATAGGTATTTCATTTACAGGAAAATATGGGCTAGGGAAAGCATCGTTTTTTGTGCAAAAGTGAACATAATTTTCTACATTTTTGTCCAATTTTACGAAAATAAAAAACTGTAAAGAGAAAATAACTTTCTATATATTTTTGTCCAATCTTACGAAAATCAATAATAATATCCAATTAGTTAACTTTATCAACAATCCAAGCTATGCCCTCTGAAAAGTAGCATTGTTCCAAGCTTTGTTGTGACTGTACAACAAAGGGATTAGTTGTGTGCATTGTCGGATTGTTTATGTATGGTTTAATTGTGCAAATCTGGTGAAAGACTGTGTGCACATGGAGAAATTCCTCGTGGAATTGAAGAAGCAGCAATAACTTGGGACTATGAAATTGTCAAGGGGATATAGTGATGGCTTTCGAGCACTACGGTTGAACTACATGCGGGAGATCCTGCCGAGTGAAATTGATGAACATTAAGCTCGTAACATCATAAGCTGATAAGCACAAGGCAAAACCAAAACAGGGTCGACTAGGAAAATGAGACACCGTGCAGATTTGTTTGAACATATTCGTACGGACTAGTATGTATGTTTTTAGGGGTTTGATTTACGTTGCAGCACAAACTATTTAAGCAGCTACTTATGAACGTAACACATGTTTTGGGTTTATTTACTACGTCAAAAGTATTTAACTTGACCATAAATATTTCGATTGGTCTGTACTGTCAGTTTTCGATCAATTATGAAGGTTCGGTTAAAATTTTGATTATTTCGATTATTGATCAATGCTCACTCCTATCTATGAGGATACGTTGAAATTAAGTTCTTTTGATGTATACAAAGAATCTATGGAATAAAGATCTACCGATATATAGTTTTGTTGTTCCTAAATCTTCAAAATTACATCAAAATTTTGAGTTTTAAAGTACTTAATTTGTACATTGTTAGCATCATAGTATTTCTAACGGAGGGATTTGTATTCCAATAAAAAAAAAATAATAATATAATATAAAATAAAATAAACAGAGGGGTTTCTATCGTAGTTTTGGGAGGGGAAAATTGTGAAGGCAAAACTAATGTTCAGTAAAATATATAACACTTTTTTAGTTGCTAGATGATAACATTACCAAGTATATATATATATATATATATATATATATATATATATATATATATATATATATATATATATATGTATTTTCAAACAAATATAAAATACTTTATTTTATAATTTTTCTCCTTTCAATTCCCAACATATAAAGGTTTAAAAATTAAAATGTATTTATAACCTTCAATTCACATGGTATTAATTAAAAACAAGTCTGAAATATATATGTTATGAATAAACATGTAGAAGTTTATGAAATATAATTCATACAAGCTCACACAAAAGAAACAATGATCAAAATCAAGATTAGCTCATTCCTACACTTAATACAAAGCAATCCCACTTGTCAATGAAATAATTTCTCAGACCAAATTCAAAGCGCTATAAAAAAAATTAATAAAAAAAAAAAGACAACCACATACTCAAAATATGCAACTAAATAAGTTTTTAAAGATAAATTATAGTAAAAACAATAAACCTTAGGATATTTATTAGGGATGGGCAGTAGAGGAGCTAAGAAATTAAATAGAAATGTTTCAATTGATGTCATTATTGTCGAAGTCATCTTCAAAGCAATTGAAGAAGTTAACATTGGTGATCTCAGCATCTTCTTCCTCTTGAATGTCCAGCTACTCAAAAATGATAAGGATTAGTTATTTTAAACTTTTTTCATATGAAAAACTAATAAATATTAAGCATTCTAATAATATGACAAAAAGTTACAGATTATAACCAAAACAGAATATGCCAAAAATATTTATTTAAAACTTTAGATGCAGAAAACATGTATTTAGAATTTTAGAAATCAAAATCATATATATATATATATATATATATATATATATATATATATATATATATCAATATTATGAATAATCTTCAATGCATAGTAAAAAAATTTATGCAAACCTTTTCAAGTTGTTGTTCCTCAAATTCTACTCCTCCGTTTCCGCTTGTTCGTTTTCTTCAATAATGGTTGGCACCTAAATTTAGTTGCATTAAGTAATTAATGACTACGATAAAACAAAAAAAAAATGAAATTTTGTATTTAATTATATATTATAGGAAGTTTAGAAAATATTTGGTGTTGTAAAGTTGTATATTTTATTAATTAATTCCTCAAAATCTCCTTCACTATCTTCATTCTAGTTCCTCTTCAACAGTTCTTTGAAATTTAGTTGGATACAAGAATATATTAATTAAAGACTGGAATGAAATAAAAATTAAAATAGCATACAAAAGTAAGGTTGAGTGAGTTGTATATATAGATACCCAAATATTGTAGGCACGAACAACAAGTTCATTATTTTCATAATCTCTTTGCTCTTCTTGTATTTGTTTGGCAGAGTTGACAAGTCCAGAATAACAATGACACAACTCAATCAACTGTAGAGTGAGTATTTCTCCAAAATTAAGGGATTGCTTCCAATTCATGACATTCTTTAAGAATTAGGCGTTCAAGGACAGGGAAATCATTATCACCAGTGGCCTCCCAGTGCATCAAATCTGATCTGTAAATAAGCAATGATTTTAACTGACAAAAACTACCTTCAGTTAGTTCCCAATATCCTCCTTGGCAAGCTCCATTTTTAAGTTTAAGCACCTGGAGGTTAGGCAACATACCTATAACTTTCATAGCGTCCCATGGCACCAAAGTTCCCTTCAGTTTCAACTTTTTGAGCTGTATTGGAAAAGCATCCACAACTGGAAGTAAAACAGGATTGTGTCTGCTTTCAATTTTTAGTTCCTCAAGATGACCTAAATACCTCAAATTATCCAAACAATTGGGCTGTCCAAATTCCACACGGCCCTCCATGAAAATTCCCATCACTTTTGCATCCGGAATCCTTAAAAACACTTGCTCTGTACATTGGAATGGGCGCAACCATTGAACTGTCTGTATGTATTGATGAACCACAGTTGGAGTACCCAACACAAGTAGTGTTGTGCAAACTTGGAGATGTCTCAACTTTGGCAACTCCCAAATTTCAGGTATCAAAGGATTGGGGTTGTCTGCACTTGTACTGCCACCCCAATTTTCTAAAAGCACAAGAGTTTGTAAATTCCAATCCTTTAACACGGGTAAACTGTTAAGAAACTTGGATGGGCGCAGAGCTAGGTATCTCAAAAGAATTAGATCCGCAACAAATGAAGGTATACCGTTAATGAAGTGGAGAGAACCTAAATCTAGTACTCTCAATCTCTTGAAATAAGGGGTTTCAGGAAGTTGATAAACTTGAGGAGTCATATGACAATCATCATAAAAGCAAAAGAGGAAACCATACCAGTTGAAGCCATTGTGCACATCAAGTTTAATAGGATACATTGATTCAAAACTTAACCAACGTTGAGTCATCATTACAGATGAAGTATTAAAAGAACTATCTGCAACACGTAGGAGGCCCTCCTTCATTGCTTCATTCCTACAAAACTTGTGTACAATGTCGTGCACCTTACATGACTTAATCTTGCCATCTAAGCTCAAACTGTCAACCAAAACTAAACTCCTAGATACAAGATCCTTTAAGTAATCCTCACCAACTTCTTCTAAGCTCCTTTCATCTTCTTCTACCTTCACAAACCCTTCTGCTATCCAAAATCTAATAAGCTTTTTCATTGCGATTGCACTATCTTCACGAAAAACTCCCAGATATAAGAAACAAACTCTCAACACATTAGGTAAGTGGTTGTAACTCAACCTGAGTATCTTTGAAAGGCTTTCAGAAAGTTTTTTGGTCATAGTATTAGTGGCACATAATAGTTTCTCAATCTCCTCTGATTGAGACTCCCGTAGTGACTCATTGGTGGTTTGTACAAGTCCTGCAACTATCACAATTGCAAGCGGCAATCCTTTACAATACTCAACAATGTGTCTCCATATCCCTTCAAGTTTCATAGGCAAGCTTAAGCTTAAGCTTCAATAATTGGGAATCCTCCCACTAAATAATTCCCAACTTTGATCTGGATTTAGGAAAGGCAAGTTTAGACAATAATTATGTGATCCTCCTGTAGAAATGGCCACTTCTTGAAGTCGAGTGGTCACCAATATTCGACTTCCATTATTTTCCTCTGGGAAGCACCTTTTGATTTCATTCCAGAACCATGTTCTCCACAAGTCATCTACAACAATGAGATACCTCTGACCCATTAAACATTTACGTAATTGGCTTGCTAGATCTTCGTTGCTTTTATTGATGATTTCCTTTTCCAGGGAGATTTGGATAGTAGACAAGAGCTGAAGAAGCATTTGTCGAATGACAGGTTGTACAGACGCTTGTGCAGACACAGTTGTCCAAGCAACAACGTCAAAATGAGATGAAACTGTTGGATGTTGATACAATGTTTGAGCAAGCTTTGTCTTGCCTATACCTCCCATGCCAACAATGGGCACAACCCGTCTTTCTTTCCATGAATCTTGAACAAGTAACTCCAAAATCATATTCACTTCGTGATGACGTCCTACCATTGTTGAGCTCCAAAGTAACTTTGAACCAGCAGAATGATGTTCAATCTTTTCACTGGACGAAGAAGGAATATCAATATCATCATCTTTTATTTGCAAATCTTTCATCAGCTGTTTGTTCTTCACCAACTCCATAAACTCTCCGGTGCATTCCATTGCATTTCGCAAGAATATTTTAAGGAATCTTTTATGTTGTATATACTTGCGAAGTAGTCTTCCAATTAATGGCGATCTCCGGTGCTCTCTGCCATACCTATAAATTATTTGTGATTCAATTTCGTCTTCTATTCTTAGTGCAACCTCTATAATTCTCCATTTCCACTCTTTGGTCGGCTTGTCATCATCATTCAATTGATCCGCAGAATGATTATCAAGAAAGGCTAGCAAGTGAGCAAGCCTTCGATGGAGAGCTTCCACTGCTTCTGTCTCTGTATGGTCAAGAACAAGGCGTGGATGAGGTTGCAGGAACTCAAGCTCTATTGTTCGCATCAGTGAAGTTACAGCAAACCAAGCCATAGCCAATACCAAAACTTAGCTTGTTCCTCTGTGTGTGTGTGTTTATGAGTGTGTTTTGTGTGCAATAATTATTGGTCATCCAACTATTGAGTGGTGTCAATTGACACCACTCTTCCTAAGTCCTAACTTGGCTCCACCAATGGTGATCTTAGAGCATCCACAATGGTTGGAAAGAATGTGGGGATAATGTAAGAGTGATTAGGAAAGAGAATGGGGTAGGGGAAAGAAAAAACAAAAGAAAAAAAAAAAGAGAAAATTGATTTAAAAAAAAAAAATTAAAATCTAATGCGGCGCGCCTGACGCACCACCGGGCGCGTGCAGTGCACGCGCCCGGCTTTTGCCCAGGTTGTGGGCGAAACGCGCACAGCCTGACTTCTTCTTCTTTTTTTTTTTTTTTAATTTTTTTTTTATAAAATTTCTGACATTAACCCCAATTTTGCGGGCACATTCTTTTCCAAATAACTCATCCCCACATCAATATTATTTTTGGTTTGAGTGATTTATTTCTGAAATAACTTCACAATCTCTCCTTAGTGTGGATGCTCTTATCTTATTATACAAAAAGCGATTCCTCCCTCCCAGAGGCGGACATGTCATGGGCCCCCACTGCCCAAAATTATTTAGCCCCAAAACGACGTCGTTTTGGAGCTTTTATATATATATATATATATATATATATATATATATATATATATATATATATATATATATATATATATATATATATATATATATATTTACGCGCATTGCACGATTGAGATAATGCTCAATGTTTTTTTTTAAATAAGTACTTTAAATCAACGTTCAGGATTATCAAAGTTAAAAAAAAATGCGGTGGCAATTTTGTAATTTTTGCATCTAGGTCAAAATTAAGGTGAGCGAATCTGTGATTAATGTGCGTGAGTTTTGTGCTTAATGTGCGTGTGTTTTGTGCTTAATGTGCGTGAGTTTTGTGCTTAATGTGTGTGGGTTGTGCTTATCGTGAGTAGTTGTTAAAACTTAAAGTCTGTGAATTAATACTTGAAGTGCGTGAATTTTGTGCTTAATGTGCGTGTGTTTTGTACTTAATGTGCGTGGGTTTTGTACTTAATGTGCGTGAGTTTTGTACTTAATGTCAGTAGTTGTTGAAACTTAAAGTCTGTGAGTTAATATTTAAAGTGCGTGGGTTTTGTGTTTAATGTGCGTGAGGTTGTGCTTAATGTGTGTGGGTTTTGTACTTAATGTGCGTGAGTTTGTGCTTAAGATCTAACACTTAAGGTGCGCCTTAGCTTATACTTCTTTGTTCCAAACACGCGTTTTTTTTTCTTTTTATAATTTTCATTGATTTGAGCCGTTGATCTAAATTTGATCAACTGCTCAGATTTAACCGCACAACCGCACGGGAAGCTATACCCGCACATGAACCATTCCCTATATATATATATATATATATATATATATATATATATATATATATATATATATATATATATATATATATATATATATATATATATATATATATATATATATATATATATATATATATATATATATATATATATATATACTAATAAGAGCCCAAGAGAGTTAGGCCTATAATGGGTAGAAAAAATGGTGGTCAAGTTTTTTAATCAAATGAATGGCTCAGATTGATCAGATTTTAATTTTTTCTTAAGATTTACTAATTTATCCTTAATGAATATGATTATCCGTTAACTTTTCCGTTAAATATTATCTTTTCCGTTAATTTCTGTTAGTTCGCCGTTAACTTATTCATTGATTTCAATAAGAAAGGTCTTAAGTTCAAAGTTTGAACCCCATCCCAATCAAAATTGGCATATTTAGTACTCTATTTTACTTTTATTAAATTAAATAATAATAATTTAGTAGTTACAATAAAATATAATACATATGCATTTCAATCTTTAATTTAGAATTATGTATCTACAATACTTTTATTCAAAAAAATTATTCATTATCAATAAATTAAATAACAGAAATAATTTCATTAGTTATATTGTCTTTATTTTTCTCCAATATAAAAATTCTTTATATTCAAATTCATCAATTGATTATATTCGCTACATTGTCCCTACAATGTCTTTATTAAAAAAAAAAATTATTCATTATCAATAAATTAATTAAGAGAAATAATTTTATTATATTATATTGTCTTTATTTTTCTCCAATGTAAAAATTCTTTATATTCAAATTCATCAATTGATATATTCACTACATTGTCTATTATCTTTTTTGTGCACTATTTTTTTTAATTAAATATCAAAGTTATAATACAAAATAATGTTATATATTTATTTACCAAGTATTTTATTAATACCATGAAAAAATTAAGAAAAATATAATTAATAAAGCCAATCATATTAACTACTTGAGGAATTTGTTGACAAAGAGAGTATTCAAGTCACACAACAAATTGAAGTGAGAACTATTTCGTAATGTCCTTGTTTGATAATCAGTAGTTAGTGGTTAGCGTAAGCGGATTATATTAGCTGATTTGACCAGCGAATTATATCAACTGTTGGTAAAAAGATATTTGAAAAAATTAGCTTTTTAGATTAACATGTAAAATGACATAAGGGTATACATATATTTAATAATAATAATAATAATAATAATAATAATAATAATAATAATAATAATAATAACAATAATAATAATAATAATTGTTTTAAAAAATAAAAAAATAAAAAAATATAATTAAGTCAATCATGTTAACTATTTGGGGGATTTATTTACAAAAAGAGTATTCAAATTACACAACAAATTGAAGTGGAAAACTACATCGCAATGTCCTTGTTTGACAATCAACAATTAGCTCTTCAATATTAGTATATATTTAAAATTTTATGCCCTAATTTTTATTTGCTCTCCCTTATGTCCCGTATTTGGTTTCAACCATACCTATACAATTATTTTATTGACAATTATAATCAATCTTGACTACATTATCTTGCATTTGTAATCTTAGAATTACCTATTTAAATACGCAAATTCAACATTCAATTATTTATGCATGAACAATTCTAATATAATCTTGTCTTGATATACTTTAAAGTACTTATTAAAAAAAAAAACATTGGGCATTATCCCAATCGCGCAATGCGCGTAAAAAACTAGTATATATATATATATATATATATATATATATATATATATATATATATATATATATATATATATATATAGGGTAGGGTAGGGTTCCCAGTGAGAACATGTGCTTAGGTGAGAACGTGAGAACACATCATGTGCATCCATCTAATATTTTTTAATGGTCTAGATTAGATTAAAGGTGTGCAAACGCGATATATATATATATATATATATATATATATATATATATATATATATATATATATATATATATATATATATATATATATATATATATATGAGCCCCAAAACGACGTCGTTTTGGGGCTAAATAATTTTGGGCAGTGGTAACAAAAAACTTGTTATGCAAGAAGTTGTGTACGGGGACAAATTATGAAGTGCAACTGTATGCACCATGGTTGCAAAAATGACGTCGTTTTAACTTAAAACGCGCGTCCCACTTAAAAAAAAAATCAGTTTTGATTATCGGCAACAACATTATGTTGTGCATAATTTGAACTATATATCCAGAATGAATGAACTAAAAATTCAGAATGAATGAACTAAATATCCAGCATGAATGAAAAAAAAAAATTAGTTTCGATTTCCATCTAAATATCCAGAATGAATGAACTAAATATCCAGAATGAATGAATTAAATATCCAGAATGAATGAACTAAATATCCAGAATGAATGAATTAAATATCCAGAATGAATGAACTAAATATCCAGAATAAATGAACAACATAATGTTGTTGAGGGGAATAGAAATTGATTTTTTTTTTAAGTGGGACGTACGTTTTTAGTCAAAATAACGTCGTTTTTGCAACCGTGTGCATCATGCATGGTGCACACGGTTGCACAACATAACCATTGGTGTATGTGTGATCAAGTTGTATAGGTCAAAGAGCATAACATTTTGGAGAAGTAGAGGTTTACTTTAACTAATAAAGTTCTTATGCATCTATGAACATATACTACATTGTAACATAATCAATAGTACTAAAAAAAAAAAAGTTCTTATGCACCTTTCATATTTTGTCTATTTGTCACAATCGATTACACATCTATTGAATGAAGTGTCCAACAGCTCTTTAATGGCATTCATTTATATATTGTACTTAGATTTTCTAAGTTGGTTCTGTCATTCTGTCTCACTATCACTAAATCTTGGATATGTTACACAAATAAAATCTATTGGTCGACTTAAACAACCCTACTAATTACTGGTATAACTTAAAACAATTTTCAAAAGACTTTTACTCAATAAATGTAGATTTGTCATTGCTTAGGATTTGTTGATGAGCCTTTGTAAGATGCTTATTTGCTAAAGCAAAAGATCAAGATCTACCAGACTGTTGATAGGATCTACCGATAGATCTATTAGGATATGTAGGAATTCAGTTCTTTTGATGTATACAACGAATCTATGGGATAAATATCTACATATATATAGTTTTTAGTTCCTAAATCTTCAAAATTACATCAAAATTTTGTATTCCAATATACTTAACTTATACATTGTTAGTATCATCAAACTCTAATAAACAGCATTTCTAACAAAGGGATTTGTATTCTAAAAGAAATATTAAAAAGAAAACAAGGGGGTTTGTAGTTTTGGGAGGGGAAAATAGTGGAGGCAAAACTATTTTTAGTAAAATATATAATACCAGTAATTTGTAGTTACTAGTTGATAACATTACCCGCCAACTACTATGTAGTGTCATGACACCTGTTACCATTTCAAATGGGTGATAGCTTGTAAAGAATTATGAGTGTTTAAAAAAAAAAGATGAAAACATTAGCAAGTATATATGTAATTTCAAACCAAAAAAAAAAAAAAAAAAAAAACAAATATGACATACTTGATTTTATAATTTTCCTCCTTTCGCAAAATATAAAGGTTTGAAAATGGAAATATATATAAACTTCAATTCACATGGTATTAATTAAAACAAGTCTGGAATATTTAGTGAATAAAATGTAAGTAGAAGTTTATCAAATATAAATAATACAAGCCCACACAAAGAAACAATAATCCAAAATCAAGCTTAACTCATCCCTACACTTATTGCAAAGCAAATCCACTCCTCAATGGAACAATTTCTCATACCAAATTCAAAGCGCTAAACTCAAGGAAAAAGGAAGGAGAACATCCACAGACCCAAAATGTGCAACTAAACAAGTCTTTTAAGATAAATTATAGCAAAAATAATAAACCTTAGGATTTTTATTAGGGATGAGCAGTAGACCGGGAGATATGAAGTAGAGAAGATTGTTTCAATTGATGTCATTATTGTCGAAGTCGTCTTCAAAGCAATTGAAGAATTCAATATTAGTGATAGGCTTAGAATCCACTTCCTCGAAAACTTGCCTTGCAACGTTGCTGGATTCAGGATCACTTGCCTTGTACTTCACCTACTCAAAAATTATGAGGATTAGTTATTTCAAACTTTTTCGTATGAAAAAAAAAACTAATAAATATTAATCATATATTCTAATAATCTGACAAAAAGTTATAGATTATATATAACCAAAACAAATTATGGCAAAAATATTTATTTAAAACTTTAGTTAGATGCAAAAACCATGAATTTAGACTTTTAGAAATAAAATCATATATCAAAATTATGAATTATCTTCAATGCATAGTAAACAAAATTTGTTTCAAATCATAGTCATCAACATAAAGCGGGCTATAGAAAACATGAATAATATATAGGTTTTAGACTATTAAACTTGTTGCAATTTTCTATCCCGTGTATATACTGTGATGATATATATATATATATATATATATATATAATTAGACTATTTTTGTTGGTGATAATGAACCACAATCGATTTAATATCCGTAAAATAATATTTATATATATACACACGAAATATATATAAAATATTATTGGATATATATCCGAAATATATATATACACACAAATATATATAAAACGGACCCAACGGTTATATATATACATGTATATCTACGAAAAAGATATACCAATATATATCAACCAAAAAGAAAATATAATCCTTAGATTATAATTCCAAAACAACAAGAAAGAACGGATTTTTGCTTAGAGCATAATCCAAAACAAGAAAGAAGAAGAAAGAAAGAAATGTAAGAGTTAGGCAAAGTGTCTGTCTTTCCTTAAAACCTTATTTGCCACCTCCCAAAAGTGCTAGGAGCGTTGTGGCCTAGGTTTCCCAGGATAAAACGTACAACGGTTCGACGTTTGAGCACCCAAACGAACGAACCCGGCGAACTAGAGCACGGGCAAAACACAGTAGCAAGAAAAGGAGTAGGAGTAGAGGTTTTGAGAAGGAAAATTGCTTATCTTTGTGTGTTGTGTACTCTCGTGTTCTTCCCACACTTGTTGTAAATCACTTGCTCCTACTACCTCTTCTTATATAGGAATTGGAGTACTAAATAGCATTTAGTAGGCATTCATGGCACGTTGGTAACATCTGAAACAGCTGGTCATTAGTGCAGGTTTAATTCAAAATTCAAAATGAATTAATACAGAGGTTAATTCCTGTAACGGATGAATTAAATCTCCACTGTCCAGAAACAGCTCTGGTAGACCGAAGTGCTGTTCAGCTGCAGCTGCATGCTCTCGGCCAGGCCGCAGCGCACGAGAGCAACTCTCGTGTTGCTTGGTCTCGGCCAGCGCACACGGTTGCTCTACGAGAGAGCAACTCTCGTGCCAGGCCGCAGCGCACGAGAGCAACTCTCGTGTTGCTTGGTCTCGGCCAGCGCACACGGTTGCTCTACGAGAGAGCAACTCTCGTGTTGCTCTCTGTTCGGCCTAATGCTCTCGGGCCTCTCGGGCCAGGTCGAACCCAGGCTTAGAGTTTGGAAAACTGATACCGAAAGTTGGCATAACTTAGCCCGCAAGGCCAGCCAATTTTCGGACGACATTCGTGCCCGAAGGTGCCGGCGCACACGAGCTCGGGCTTGAATCAAGCCTCCCCGAAATCATCTCTAGTTGGAATTTGATTTGCACCCCCCCCCCCCCCCCCTCCCCTCGCACGAGAGAGCCTCTATGCTATACAATTCTACAAGTTCTAAAAAAGCTCTAGTATAAAAGGGGGGTGAAATCCTCTTTCCAAATCAATGTGGGACAAACCTCATTTTTCCCTTACATTTTCCAACTCAATGGGTCTACTTTGAGAATCAATATCTCATTCACCCATTATCCGTTTTGAGCGTACAATATATCAATCTCTTCGTCTCACTACGAAGAATCCGAATCCACTTTCACCCGATTCAAATCGGAAGTAGACCCCACTGATAATTGTACCACAAAATAGCCACTTAACATGTCATTTTATGCCATTTTAATGCTATTTTTCCAACAATCCCCCACATGAATGAAAAATTGATTTCAGGGTATTTTGAAATCGGAAACAAACTGTGTTCAATGGTCGATCCCTGCATAGGATAGGTAGGGATCACTATACCCTTTGAACCTTCCCTTGTAAAGACATGTTTACTCTACTGGCTGTACGGTAGAACACGATGTCTTTGAACCGACTGCCGTTTGTGTAGACGATGACATATCTCACACAGGAACCTCCCAACCATGCTCTGTTCTCATGAGTGTGCCCATTTTGGTCGTGGGTCACCGTCCTGGTTCTGCAAGAGTTTGTGAAGAATTGTGCCCATCAATTCTCCTTTGAAGCGACCCTCACTTCTCTCTCACATAGGTGATTCTTTTTCCGAGTATCCCGCATACTCACACATGTCAACCGACATTCGAATCATTAAAGCATCAACATGCTAACCTTGCGCGGGAGTCACTGTTCTAACGAGGAGTGGTAGGGAGTCCGAGACCCCCACAGTGACACGCTCCGTTCCATAATTTAGTTGTCCCATTGAACCTAGGTACCAGCTAGGTTGGGTGTCCACTATAGAACTTTTAGTCTAAGGGCTTTAGACCCATTCCTCGTTCCAATTTCTCCACAACCATTTGCTTACCCTCGGGTTAGCGAGTTAGCGGCCGCTACGTTATCTTTTGACATCACGTAGTCAATAGAGATAACTCCCGTTGTGAGAAATTGTTTAGTGGTATTATATCTACGACTTATAAGTCTAGACTTACAATTCCACATTTAACTCTGTACTTAACCAATTTTGGCTTGACTATCGCAATGCACACAAATTGGAGGTACGAGTTCACCACTAGGAACATTCTCGAAATAATGGCTTAGCCATTCGGCCTACTCGCTCGCGACACGAGTGTAAGGCTATCAGCTTTGATCCCGTCGGATCTTAGCTTTCACAAATTCATTTCGAGAATTTCTGTCCAACCGACTGCACTGGCCTACGTAAAGACGTAGCTTTTGATGGACTTAGCGTCCTTTGATATCCGTGCTATACTTTCCAAGTATGGCTAGATATCCCACGTTGTGCAGTCCAAAGTCACAAGCATACATAAGTATCTCATAACTTCCACTATTGCCTTTTAGTGCGTAACACTAAGGTTACTCGTATGTCTACCGAGTTCGTTAACCGCTAAGGCAATATCCAGCCTAGTACAACCTATTAGATACAATTAAACTACCAATAATCTGAATGTATTCTCCATGAGAAGTACAATACTCGTGATTATTGGCTAGTTGTACGTTAGATCTTACGATGTCCAAGCCACTTGATTAACATCCTTTGCAAGGATTTAATCAACACAATGAGATTGGCTTAACACGAGACCATACGGTCTTCTCACAATTTTAATCTCAAGGATTAAATCTGCCAAGCCCACACCTTTGATCGCATGTCAAATCTCAAATTTAACATGTTCTCGGTAGAATTGATCATGTGATCGTTACTACCCACGTTGAGTTTATCGTGTATGGACAAATAGTGATAACCTCATCTATCGTACGCATTACGTAGACATTTATCACATTTGTTTATACTGAACTAGTGACACATCATTGTATGATAAAAACGTACATGCCAAGTACTAAGGCAATTGTTTCTTCAAACCAAACAATGATCTTACCAGTTACACACTTTCTTTCCATAGCGCGGAACCACGAAACCCTCGGGTTGTTCCATGTCTATTAAGAAAGCGATACATCCATTTCGATAAACTTCCAAGTTTCGCTAAACAGCTCTTGGGAAGTATCATCCTAATGGATTTCATTCTCATCACAAGAGAATATATATTGAGGTAACTGTGGCACTCGCATTGCATGTAATTTAAAATTACAAGCTCGGCCATTTTACTTCGATATAACCAACCGATTTTATCTTCCGACTAGTGATCCGTTTAGGATCTAGAGGTTTTACAACCCGAAGGAAGAACAACCAGTTCCAAGTATGATTCTTTTAGATAGAATCTACTTCACGCTCGGTAGCCTCTCTCGGGTTGGTCCATCTGTAGAAGTCACAACTTCTACATATGTTCGAGGCTTGTTTTCTAACAACCTTGTCAGAAAATCCAATTTATTTTCTAGTAAACAAGTTAGAATATGCGCGTCACATTCTAGCATGTACGTCAGAAAATCTGGACCAAGGGATTTTTCAATCCTGGCTCTCTTGCTACGTCTAGCTTTGAGCTCGGGTTCTCTTTCATACCCTTCAACCATAGCTACGTCGAAAGTTCCTTTCAACGTGCTAGGTCCTTTATTGAACCTTCACAGAAATTACATCTTCAAAGAACGATGAATTTCTTGATTCAGTTTATTGTGTTCTTATGTACATCCAAACTATAGGACTCGTGTACTAAGAACCCAATATACACCTTTGGCAAGATACCCCCACATTTCAGGCATTAGTAGGAAAATTTCCTACGTACCCACAATTCGTAAGGATTTCATACGGGTAACCTTATTTAAAAGGTACTTACTTGTCCAAAGTATTGTCTCACCCCACGTACCTTGAGGTAGACCCGAACTTATCAACGTCTTGATATTTACGTTCGGCAACAGCGTTCGATCGATTGAGGTGAATACCGTACCGTACTCTCGAGTACAATACCAACGCTTGCGCCGAAATCACCAATAGGTGTTTCATGTTCACCACATCAATTATTCATAACCGCATTAATTCACGATTAATTTGGTTTTTCCTTTTAATTCTTATAAAGAATAAACATGTGCTGCACATTAGCACATCTCGTAGAAGCTAACAGATTAGCCTTTACAAATTCATTCGGTTTAGACCGAAAGGCCACAAACCCGAAACAGTGCTTCCGAAATTGAAGCACGAATCAGTGCTTAGTAATGAAGCACGAGACATGCTATACCAAGCACGAATCTTGCTACCAAACTAACGTACCGATTCCAAAGCAATCTCTATTGCTTTAAATTATAAACTCACAACAACCATTGGTTGCTTGACTTATAATTCCAGTGCTACTTGGCACTAGGATTATTAGTTAATTTCACAATTAACCAAAAACTCCTTTCGTGCTAATCACATAACACTTTTACAACGCTAAATTTAATTAGCCATATACGAAAGATTTAAGCTAAGTAGATTAGCATTAAGATCAATCATAATCTAGCACCTTTATTGCTATTGCCAAAGCACCAAATGCTTAAGTTTTCAACACCTAAAGGTGCAGCCACCAAGTGGCCGAAAGTGCCTAATTAAGCACTCTACCTAGTGCTTGATAGCACTGTTACAGTGTTTTAATTTGCACTTCCAAGTGCCAAATTAAATTGCACTTTCCATTAGTGCTACAAAAACACTATTCACCAAAACACAATTTGTCTCAAATTAAATATACTAGTATAATTTGGAATTTTTGATCAAGTTAATTATAACACAATTAACGAGAACAAATCAACCAAATTTTCCAACTAGTTGAATCAAACTCATATAATCGTTCTTAGAATATTATTTAAAATATTCAACACTTGAGCTGTGACGCTCTCGATTATATAGTTATTCCAATTTTTGACAAATTGATCCTAGAAATCCGTATCGTTCTACATGAACCTGAACCGAAGTTCGTTACGGGATTTCAACATGTAACACGCTTGTTACATTTCATTCCGGCCGTTAAGCCATTTTAGCATTTTCCACATAATGCTACGTGATGCACTAGGCACCCGTATTGAATCATTTCATACATTCAATATTATTTCATCAAATAATTCGTATGTACTATGATTCAATAGCTCAATGGAACAATTCATTTTTTTTATTCAACAATAAAAAATGTATCACAAGGATACTACAACATTTATTTAATAAATGAATAAATAGGAAAATTATATTGGAAACAAATTTCCTTTTTCCTATCTCGTAGTAATCCTTTAACCCGTGTGCCTTGTTCTATTTTCCAACCGTCCACTCCACGAGGGTGGTCCATAGCGCACATCGGGGGTACCTTGGTTGTGACCTCACTCGTCCAACCATCCACACGTTTTAAACATAGCGAAATTGTCCTCAACCTTTTCACCAGGATGACGGTTCGCTTCGTAGTGGCATTTCTCCTTCTTCTCATAATCTTCTTGAAAGCTAAGCTTCCGCTTGAGTTTCCTTCGATTACGGTTGAAGTCATTGGTAACACTACCATAGTCCTCCGACCATGTAGTCATTACACCATCATAGGATCCTTCGTGGATTTTAGCCGATCCGTTAGGCAACACAATAGGTACCAATTGTGTGCCATGAGCCACAGGTCTACCGGATCGTGAACCAACGTTCCCCGGAGCACCATCGTGTGTTTTGCAACTCCCATGGAAACAACATTTCCAACGTTGCTGCCGACAACCGGCATCACGGAATGTGCAACATCGTTGCCGTTCCTACCATTTGAATGTGCACCTCCGGCAACATTCACGGATCCAACACTTTTGGAGTCCATCGATTTGTTCATTATCAAAAATAAATAAGGTTTTAAGATTGTTGGTGATAATGAACCACAATCGATTTAATATCCGTAAAATAATATTTATATATATACACACGAAATATATATAAAATATTATTGGATATATATCCGAAATATATATATACACACAAATATATATAAAACGGACCCAACGGTTATATATATACATGTATATCTACGAAAAAGATATACCAATATATATCAACCAAAAAGAAAATATAATCCTTATATTATAATTCCAAAACAACAAGAAAGAACGGATTTTTGCTTAGAGCATAATCCAAAACAAGAAAGAAGAAGAAAGAAAGAAATGTACGAGTTAGGCAAAGTGCCTGTCTTTCCTTAAAACCTTATTTGCCACCTCCCAAAAGTGCTAGGAGCGTTGTGGCCTAGGTTTCCCAGGATAAAACGTACAACGGTTCGACGTTTGAGCACCCAAACGAACGAACCCGGCGAACTAGAGCACAGGCAAAACACAGTAGCAAGAAAAGGAGTAGGAGTAGAGGTTTTGAGAAGGAAAATTGCTTATCTTTGTGTGTTGTGTACTCTCGTGTTCTTCCCACACTTGTTGTAAATCACTTGCTCCTACTACCTCTTCTTATATAGGAACTGGAGTACTAAATAGCATTTAGTAGGCATTCATGGCACGTTGGTAACATCTGAAACAGCTGGTCATTAGTGCAGGTTTAATTCAAAATTCAAAATGAATTAATACAGAGATTAATTCTTGTAACGGATGAATTAAATCTCCACTGTCCATAAACAGCTTTGGTAGACCGAAGTGCTGTTCAGCTGCAGCTGCATGCTCTCGGCCAGGCCGCAGCGCACGAGAGCAACTCTCGTGTTGCTCTCGGGCCAGGTCGAACCCAGGCTTTCTCTGATACCGAAAGTTGGCATAACTTAGCCCACGCAAGGCCAGCACACACGAGCTCGGGCTTGAATCAAGCCTCTCCGAAGTCAGTCATCTCTAGTTGGAATTTGATTTGTACCCCCCCCCCCCCCCCGCGAGAGAGCCTATATGCTATACAATTCTACAAGCTCTAAAAAAGCTCTAGTATAAAAGGGGGGTGAAATCCTCTTTCCAAATCAATGTGGGACAAACCTCACTTTTCCCTTACATTTTCCAACTCAATGGGTCTACTTTGAGAATCAATATCCCATTCACCCATTATCCGTTTTGAGCGTACAATATATCAATCTCTTCGTCTCACTACGAAGAATCCGAATCCACTTTCACCCGATCCAAATCGGAAGTGGACCCCACTGATAATTGTACCACAAAATAGCCACTTAACATGTCATTTTATGCCATTTTAATGCTATTTTTCCAACAATTTTAAGGGGCGTTGAGGTGATTTCACCTTTTTATAATAGTATTTTAATTTTAATTTGCACATCTTAGAGTAATTTCCTAAAACCATTACATTTAATCTATTTGTGAACTTAATTGGTTCACGTTTTCATAAGTGTGGTGGATTTTACACCAATAAAGTTGGTTGTATGAGTAAAATGTTAGAAATTTATGCAGGAATAAGTGATTTATTAATGACCAGGATTTAATGGTTGCTACCTGAATCTAGTTACTTTTTAAATAATTAATGACCATAAAAAAAAAATTGAAATTTTGTATTTAATTATTGGAAGTTTAGAAAATATTTGGTGTCGTAAAGTTGTATATTTTATTTTAAACTTTGTATAAATTTTATTGATAAGAAATATTAGTTTCAAAAAATATTTTGCATATGAAAAGTCAAAATTAAAGACAGTTATAAAGTAGAAGTATAAAGAAATTAGTAAAATATTCATGTATTAGTTAATAAAAAAACAGAGTTTAACGTTGCTCTAAAGACAAAAATTGTAACTTACTTTAATCGCCCGTTCGATTCACGGAATAGGCCAGGAATGGCATAGCATTCCCAGTAATAGGCCTATTACTTTGTTTGGTAACTATTTCTATTACCAGGAATAATATTCCTGGTAATAGCCTATTACCTCAAATAAGGTAATAGCTATTACAAGGGGTCCTCCTGGTATTAGCCTATTACTTAACGCTCAGGAATAGATTTTAGAATCTATTTTCTTTTTTACCCCTTCCTTTAACCTAATTTTTTTAGCCTATATATAAATTTATCCTATTTCACCACCGTCGTTGCCGCCACCACCACCACCACCACCACCATCGCCGTCGCCGCCCCCACCACCACCACTACCACTACCACCCCAACACCACCACCGCCACCACTACCATCGCCACCACCACCACCATCGCCACCACCACCACCGCCGCCACCACCACCACCGTCGTCGTCGTCGCCGCCACCACCACCACTATCACCGCCACCACCACTACCACCCCAGCACCACCACTGCCACCACTACCATCACCACCACCACCATCGCCACCACCACCACCACCATCGTCGTCGCCACTACCACCACCACCATCGCCGCCCCAGCCACCACCACCGCCGCCCCCACCACAACCACCACCACCGCCATCGCCACCACTACCATCACCACCACCACCATCGCCACCATCACCACCACCACCGCCACAACCGTCGCCGCCCCCACCACCACTACCACAACCGTCACCGTCACCACCACCACCGCCGCCCCCACCACCGTCACCGCCACCACCACCACTACCACCCCAGCACCACCACCACCGCCACCACCACCACCATCGCCACCATCGCCACCACCACCACCATCACCAACATCACATATATTTATAAGGGTATTTATGTCTTTCAAAACATATTTCATTTCTATCACTTAAATCAACCAAACACTGTAATATAATTCCTAAAGTCTATTCCTTCTGCGAACCAAACAATAGAATACAATTCCTATTCTATTCCTTGTCTATTCCATTCCTTATGGAATATCATTCTTATTACCTCAAAATTCATTCCGTGAACCAAACGTGCTATAAGGTTATGTTGCAAGAAGGACTAAAATGACTACTAAAAAGGAAATAATTAAATAACTAAATGCATTTTTCCCAATAATTAAACATTGGGATAAAACAAATAATGAAAATAAAATACAACAAATCTATAAATGTTACTACTTTTAAGATTTATTTTTTTAATACAAACCTTTTCACGTTCTTGTTCCTCAAAATTTCCTCTTTTCACTTGTTCTTTTTCTTCAATACTTACGCTCTGAAATTAAATAATTAATGACCAAGACGAAACCATAATGTTTTTTTAAAATAAATAAATAAAAAAATACAAATTTGAGTGAATTATAGATCGAAAAACCTGAAAAGTGTTGTAGTCATGAACTGCAAACCAATTATCTCCATATGACTCCTGTTGCTGTTGCTGAATTTGTTTGGCAGAATGAACAAGCAAAGAATGACAATTGTAGAACTCAATTAATTGCAAAGAGTATAGGTCACCAAAAGTGGAAGGGATCTTCTTCAAACCACTACAATATATAACGATGAGGTGCTCTAGGATAGGGAAAGCATTTTCAGTAGCTGTCCACTGCGCCAACTCCATTCCATGAATGAGCAGTGATTTTAATTTAGGAAACCCACCACCATTAAGTTTCCAATCTTTCCCAATACAAGCTTGATATTTAAGTTTAAGCACCTGGAGATTAGGCAACATTCCAATAACTTCTTCCATTGCATCCCATGGCACCAAAGTTCCCTTCAATGTCAACATTCTGAGTTGTACTGGAAAAGCACTTGCATGTTGAAGTTCAATAGAATTACCATAATCGCCATAAATTTTTAGTTTCTCAAGCTTCTGTAAATTTATAAGATCATCCAACCAATTTTCATCTAACCGAATCAACGGTATGAAAATTCCCATCACTTTTGTATTTGGAATTCTCAAAAATACTTGCTTTGTGCATTGGGAAGGGTGCAACCAATAAATTGTCTGCAAGTACTCTAAAACAACACTCAGATTATGGATTATAAACATCTGGCTAAATTGTAGATGCCTCAACATTGGCATCCTACAAATTGAATATACATTTGTTGTAAAATAACTATCCACCCCTCCTTCTTTGTCTGCCCGAAGCAAAAGTGTCTGTAGATTAGAACTCGCTTTCGACTTCCACATTTCTAATTGTAGACCAGGGGTGGCTATGTTCAGAGCTAGGTACCTCAAAAGAACTAGAGCAACACCAACACCACAAATTCCAATACTCTCAACATCTTGAAATTTGTAATTTTTTTAACAAACCAATTAACTTCATCATGACAAAAGGATAAAATGGATCGAGATGCATTGGAGATATCATCAGATGAAACATCCATTGTTTCAATACTTACCCAACGATAAGTGTGTAAGTGACCAAAATGTCCATCTACAACATGTAAGAGGTCCTCCTCCATTGCTTTCCTCTTACAAAAGTCATGTACAATGTCATGCACCTTACATGTCCTAATCTTACCATCTAAGCTAATTCTATCAATCAAAACTAAATTCCTAGATACAAGATCTTTTAGAAAATCCCCACCAACTTCTTCTAAGCTCCTTTGACTTTCTACCTTCACAAACCCTTCTGCTATCCATAATTTAATAAGTTTTTTCACAGGAATAGAGCTACTTTCTGGAAAAATCCCCAAATATAAGAAACAAATCTTCAAAAAATTAGGCAAGTTGTTATAACTCAAAATAAGTATCTTTGAAATACCTTCAACAAGATCCAAACACATCCTTTCATAAAGTATTCTCTCGGTCTCCTTGGAAATCCATAGTGACTCATTGATTGCTCGTGCAAGTCCAGCAGCTATAACAATTGCAAAGGGCAATCCCTTGAAATAATTGACAATGTGTCTCCATATTGCCTCGACTTCTGAGGGCAATCTTGCAAGATGAATCTGTTGAAGAAATAAATCCCAACTTTCTTCTGAATTTAAAAAAGACAGGTTTAGAGAACAATTATTATACGATCTTGCATACACGGCCACTTTACCATGTCGACTGGTCAACAATATCCTACTCCCATTAAGATCTTCTGGAAATGACCTTTTAATTTCCTCCCAATGGTTACTGTCCCATATGTCATCTAGAACAATCAGATACCTCCGACCAAGTAACCCTTTACGTACTCGGTCAAATAGTAGGTCATCGCTGAGTTGATGGATGAATTCCTTCTGTTTTGGATCAATACACAACAAAAGCTCACGAAGCATTCTACGTCTGTCATATGTTGCAGACGTAGATACGGTTGTCCAGGCAAGAACATCAAAATGAGATTTAACTAATGGATCGTGGTACAAGGTTCGAGCAAAAGTTGTCTTACCTATTCCCGCCATGCCAACGATTGGTACAACCAGTGTTTCTGTAGATTTGTCTTCAAGGAGTAACCATTTGATACGTTCCAATTCAGCTCTGAGGCTGTGGGAAGGGAAGAACTACTACTTTCAATCCTTTCCCTCGATGAAAGAATACCATTCATTTGCAAATCTTCCTTCACAAACTTTTTTGTCAACTCTTCAATTGCATCTTTCAAGGTGTAATGAAAGCTTTGAGCAAGAGGAATCATACCCTGTCCTCCTCTACTATAACTATCAATTACTTTTGATTCAATTTCATCTTCTATTCTCAGGGCAACATCTTTAAGCCTTGATTTCCAGTCTTGCATTGAATTGATTCTCAGATTTCTCAAGAAAATCTAGCAACTCACGTCGCCTTCCATGGAGTGCTTCCGCTGCTTCTGTGTGGCCAAGAACACGTGGGTTGGGGGATAAGAACTCAAGATCTACCGTTCGCATCAGTGAAGTCAGGGCGAACCAGGCCATGGCTTACTCTTAATTTCCTGGATCTGCTGTATCTTATTTCTTCTGTTAGTTTGTAAACTGCAGTGATCTGAAGTTTTTGCAGTGATATACACTATTAAAGCAAACCCAATTGTGGTTTTTGCAGACTAAAAAGTAAAAACCAAAGAACATGCTTTTTAACAAATGGAAATGATGCATTTTGAAGAGTTTTTTCCTGCAAAGACTTGACTTTGCAGCAAAAAATTAAAAAATAACGGACGCGCGTGCTTGGGTTGCTTCAGAGTGGCCGCGGCCTGGGGGCCACTCTGATTTTTTTTTTTTTTTTAATTTAATTTTTTAGGCCTATATGCTAGTTTGCTACACAGCAACGGCCAATCATTTTATTTCTTTTGTAAAATTATTTTTAATCTTTTTTTTGTTTTTCTTGTTTGATTTTGTTGTTAAATTTTAAAATTTTGTATAAAATTTTATGTAATATAAATGTAATATATAACTTTGATACCATATTATTAGAATTGAAAACTTATAATTATAAATTTGTTTTAATTTGACATGTTTAATTTAAATATAATAAAAATAATTATTATAATTATAGTTTTTATAATGATAATAAATAAAGAAATAATTAAAATATAGTGAAATAGAATCGTAGGTTCACAAGAAATTTTGTAATTGAGTGAGATATTAGATGATGAGAATATCAGGGTCCACAAAACACGGGGGGGAAGAAACTCCAAAAGATGAAGATGCTCTTACTCTTTCTCTAACCTATGTTGATTTTTTAGGGTGTTGAACTATGCAATGCGAGTACTTAATTGATAAGCAAATAATTCAAGGGGAGATTAGCTAGGGGTGGGCGTTTTGGTCGGTTTTTTTTTTTTTTTTTTTTTTTTTTTTTAAGATCTCCAAATTTCATTTTTTCCTAATTTTCCGAACATACTACCAAATAATACATATTCACATAATCAAAATTCAAAGTCTAAACATTATATAACAAAATAACCATCGAAAGTTCAAGCACAATACCAAGTACTAATTATCAAGCATCAGTAGATTTTTTCGCACAACCGACTCTTCAGTTAGTTCACTTTGAAATATTTTATTGACAAGATGAATAATCATATATCTGTATAGTTAATATTAAAAGATAGTTAATTTTTGGACACAATCCGTCATTGCTAGTGCACTGGAATATTATTTTCCAGTTCACTCGAAATATATTCCAATACTAGAAAATAATTTTAGTGCACTAGAAATCAAAATTAGAATGGCAATAAAGCACATCAGAAACATGAAACTAAGGAAAATACTGAATATTGTAAATATAACTCAAGTTAGATATAATTGTGAGATAAAGAACAATTGCGACAAACAACAAAAGTGCAAAGTAGAGAACAAGTTATAAAGAAATCAAATAAAAAATTTAAGGGAGATACTAATGAGAATAAGAACTAAACGGTGGAGCAAGCATCAAGGGATGATGGTGATGGTGATGATGATGGTGATTATTATTATTATTATTATTATTATTATTATTATTGTTGTTGTTGTTGTTGTTGTTGTTGTTGTTGTTGTTATTATTGTTATTATTGTTATTGTTATTATTATTGTTAATATTTTTATTATTTTTATTATTTTTTTCACCAGTGTGATGCACGAAATGAATTTGTTATAATATATTAAGAATATTTGGATCGATATATAATTATTTAAATTAGAATATCAAATATTATATAGTGTAATTGAAGGTATGATTTTGATTGTTTATGTGTTTTTATGTTATCATTGCTTGAATTTGAGCAAATAATTGCTCAAATTAATAGCTAATGTATAGATGTACGCATGCGGTGCTATAACTTTTGAGATTTTATTTATTATTGTCCAGTATTTTTATAAATTATAAAATGTGCTCGTTCTCTAGCAACTCAGTTATAAGAATGAATTGATATCCTAAATCATTTGTATGGAAAATATATTTTTTTGTCTAGATATATAGAAATTTTGCCATTTAAAAAAAACATAATATCACCGATTGTATTTACACATTATTGAAACCTCTTTGTAGACAACATTGGTAGTAACAACACAAGTATATCCATCTTCGTCTAGAGCTAACACCTTCAGTCCATCAGGATGAGCGACTCGAGTATAAATATATAATAGTAGAATATCATTCAATAAGTGATCATTTTATATTTTCAGTCAGTTAGTAATATCAGATTCATTTTCAGTCAATTATTCTTTTTTTATTTCCAGTCAATTAGTCAATTAGAATATTAGATGCAATTATATTTTTAACTAATTTCCGTTCCATTTTTAATTGATGATGTAGAATATTTTTATTGAAATATTTCCATTCTATTTTTAATTTATCTTTATAAATGTTTAAAATATACATTTACTATTGATGATGTAGAATATTATTATTGAAATATTTCTGTCAAATTTGAATTTCCGTTCCATTTTTAATTAAAATGCAATTATCTTGATTTTTTTTTCATTTTAGTCAATTATGGATAATTTTTTATTTGCAGTCAATTATTAATATTCATTTCATTTTATATTTTCAGTCAATCAGTAATATCGGATTTATTTTCAGTCAATTATTCTTTTTTATTTTAAGTAAATTAGTCAATTAGAATATCATATCCAGTGATATTTTTACTTAATTTCAGTTACATTTTTAATTGATGATGTATAATATTTTTATTTAAATATTTCCATTCCATTTTAATTTTCGTTCCATTTTTAGTTACTTTTACTATTGTTTAAAATATGCATTTACTATTGATGGTGTAAAATATTATTATTGAAATATTTCCATTATATTTTTAATTTACCTTTACTTGATGATGTAGAATACTATTATTGAAATATTTCCGTTCCATTTTTAATTTCCATTTCATTTTTAATTTTTGTTCCATTGTTTAAAATTGTGAAAGATTTAAGATATAATTGTGATTTGATTTATTTTAATGTGTAGTATTATTGTGAAAAATTAAAATGCAATGATTTAATCATTTTCTTTTCCATTTTATCCAATCATTTTTTATTTTCAATCAATTATTAATATTTATTTTCTTTTTTCCAATTAACCTAATTTCCATTTCTTTTTCTACTTTTAATTTTCGGTCAATTATTAATATTCATTTTTTTTTCAATTTACCTAATTTTTGATCCATTTTTAATTGATGATGATGTAGAGTATTATTGTGAAATATTTATGTTCATTTTTTAATTTACCTTTACTATTTACTATTGTTTGGGTGGGAAATCAAGTAAATATGATTTTTTTTAAAATTATAGTATAGATTAAAATGCAATAATTTGTCAAGCACATTGTGCTCAGATGACACCTGGGTTGGACTCCCATATGGGAGATTGGCAGGTTGTGATTTTGAGCCTTAAGCGTTATTGACTATGAACAGATAAAAAAAATGCAATGATTTAATCATTTTCTTTTCCATTTTATCCAATTATGAATCATTTTTTATTTTCAATCAATTATTAATATTTATTTTCATTTTCCAATTAAGATTCCAAAATGCTATTCAGTAGCAGACAACTGCAATATTGTCCATCAATCTGCATTTACAATCAAAACAAAGAAAATTTTAACAACTGATTCAAAAAAAAAAAAAAATACAAAATACAAAATACAATTATACCTCAAGCCTCTATAGGTTCCCATGTGTCAAAATCTGAACCATAGCCCTTCCAATGTATCTTGGAAAGCACATAAGGTTGAGAGAAATTATATTTTAGACATTTCTAAAGAAGATAGCAACTCACTGGAGTTTCAAACGTACCTTAAAGTATAGTATAGTCCATGCTTTTTAATACTATTAGGATCTCCATAACAAATTAAAACGATATTGTATCATAGTATACCAAACCTAACCCTAATATATTTTGAATATTCGGGCAGGTCAGATATGAAAATATACAACCCCACTCGAAATCCCTTATCCGGCATCGTTTAAGGTTGCTGTTCGGATAGTGTTGTTCAGATGCGGGTTGGGTCGGGGAGCTTGGTTTCGGATTTCGGACTGGGCGGATTTTTCAGGTCGATCGAATTATGCACAACCCTAGATATATTTAAAACGTGTTTAGAGCAAATCGACTCGAAGATGCAAGTCAAAACAACCCGGAATAGTTCAACCCCGTAGTTAACCAAAGGGCCCAAGGCTCCATTGTCGAACTTAGCCCCCCAAAGCTGACCACAAGATCACGAGTACAAATTAAATTTGACAATAAAAATTAGACTATTAGCAAAAAAACAAAAAAAATAAAAAGCAAAGAAACATCTTCTTTGTCGTCGAAAAATGTCATTGCCTAAAATAGGATTTCACATGAAAAAATCATCGAAATGATCAAAAGTGTCTAAAATATGATAGTCTAGGTTGTTAACTGACAAAATTGATTGTCTGGGACTAAATTTGAAATTGCCAGTAAAGACAAGACTTCCGGTGGAATTAATTTATTGAGAAAATAAAAATAAAAATAAAAAGTATTGAAGAGACAAAAATACTCTTTTTTAAAATACAATTTCAGCGGAAAATTCATCCAAAGACATTTTGGAAGGACAAAAATGTCCAGAATAT